CAATTGCCTACACATGCACATAAACAGTTTACATGGGCGGCTTATCTGACGGCCCCATTTCACTCACAAAGAGATACACTGTCAAAAGTGAAAATGAACGTTTTTGATTTTTGTCTTAATAATGAGTAATTGCTCCACCAATCCTCACACATTCAGCAATTCGTCGTGGCATGCTCCTAATCAACCGTTCAATCACGATTTGGGGAAATCTGACCCACTCCTTTTGCAGTGCCACGGCCAATTCTTGCAGTGTTGTCGGTTGACGTTGACGTCGACGAAAACGTCTCCCGATCAAATTAAACGTAACACACTAAAGCAAAGATACGCTAAACAGTAAATCTTATGCAAGAACCGATAGCAAAGCAAACATGGATAGGATAAACCAGCAAGCGGCAGTTTTCATCAACCCTTCCTTGAAGTGTCAAATTTGACAATGAACCCCTTGTTTTGTATCATGTCGGTATTAGAAAAGACGATCGAGGCTAGCCTAAAATATTCAACCGCTAATATCTCGGTTCAGAGTAAAGCAATTTATCGAAATTTTCAGCATATTCTATGGCGAGAACTGTCAACTCTTTATCTAATCTGTAGCACCATGGGTCTTCTGTCAGACGTGGAGAGCGGGCCACCAAATCAGGCAGCCACATCCTACGTATGACCCACGAATCTTTTCTTACTACATATCTATCTTAGTACATGTAGCCTTGTGATGATCTAGTATTTTCTTTGCTTCCCCTTCACGTTGTGTATTTACTTCTTACTGTTTTCTCAGTTAGTTAAAACGTTTGTCTTACCAGGAATAACAATGCAACAGTTCGTTTTTACATGTTATATATCATAGCCGGATACAAAGATACAAGCAAAGTACAATAACAGTAAAGTCATTCCCTCAAACCCCATCCAGCCTGACTCGCTGGGACGAGTCTGCTGATATCAATTGCTACATCTTTTCCCTCCTGGACTCAAGCTGCTGTCTGACAAGTTCCCAAATATATGACAGTCTTGTAGCTTTGGATTTGGACGTTCAATTATCTAATTTAAACATTCTACCTCAATTAAAAACAGAGTTGTTATGTTCCAATTTATTGACCAATCAAATTACTTATCGCCACTTAGCCTAAGCAGAAAATGATCATTATCGAACTTAGTCAAGGTATTGATGTAATAATAAAACTATACACCAAGTTTCATCACCCTCACTTAATTAGAACTAAAGTTATTGTGTCCCAAAGCATCAACCAATAAATTGCTCATCTCTGCTTACCCTAAGCAGCAAAATGCTTACCTTCAAACACCTACACCAAGTTTAAACATTCTACCTCAATTAGAAGGAGAGTCATTGTGTCCCAAAGAGTGTGACGGACAGAGAGACAGACACACGGACAGGCCCATTTTAATAGTCAATATATAGTTAATAATAATGATGCCCTTAGCAGAAGATTTCATTATCGAACGTAGTCAAGGTATTGGTGTGATAAAACTATACACCAAATTTCATCACTCTCACTTAATTAGAACTAAGTTATCGTGTCCCAAAGCATTAACCAATCAAATTGCTTATCTCAGTTTACCCTAAGCCGAAAATGTTCATCTTCGAACTCCATCAAGGCATTGACCTAATAAACAACTACACCCAAGTTTAAACATTCTAGCTCCATTAGAAAGAGAGTTATTGTCTTCCAAAGTCTCAGTCAATCCAATTGCTTATCGCTCTGCTTACCCTGGGCAGGAAATAATCTTTATTGATAGAATGAAACTATACACCAAGTTTCATCCCTCTCACTTAGTTAGAACTAAAGTTAACGTGTCCCAAAGCATCAGCCAATCAAATTGCTTATCTCTGCTTACCCTAAGCAGACAATGCTCATTTTCGAACTCCATCAAGGTATTCACCACCAACAGTTACACCTACACCAAGTTTGAACATTCTAGCTCAATTAGAAAGGGAATTTGGTATCCCAAAGAGTATGACGGACGGACGGACGGACAGACAGACAGACGGACCCAATTCAATAGTTCCCTGCTTTCTTCGAAAGGCGGGGTACAATAAATTCTGATATGTGTGCCCTTGCATTTTTCAATTCAAATCATTAATTACAAAACAAAAATCATAATAGCACGCACACAATGCCGAAAAGCATAATAAAATAAAATATATTAAAACTGCTTAGCCATCATAAATTATGCATAAAATATAGGTATGGAATAGGTATATGGTTTATCAAGGTAATTGTACTGTCATCTTGGTTGGATTTAAGTGCTGCTTGTAACTTTTTATGACTGAGCGATCTTGCTTTATAATAATGTGTCACTATCAGTTGAAAAAAGCTCATCACTAGTTGATAACAACTCTCAGAAATAGCGTGTTAGCTATTCTGGCAGCCATTTTGGATTTTTGGTCGCCATCTTGGATTTAAGGCAAATTTCAGGGTGGCCCGCAAGCATATTTGAAATAGTTTGTTCCAAAGTATATAAATCCATTGAAAAAACTTTGACTAAAACCGGTGCCATTGTTGCCTGACAGGACCTGTCTAATATATTTTTCCCTTTAACTCACAAATAGTTTATTTCTATCCTCCGTTCCTGATCAAACGATGTTTATATAAATTTTATTATTTAAAAATATGCCAAGATCAAAGCTCGAGATGTTGCCAATATGTATATATAAGGAAGTTTTGGTGATTTAATAAATTTGTCGCTTGAACATGAATAACAAGGAAGTGATCATACCAAAAATAATACTTTCATGCTTACAATTCGCGCATTTCCTAATGGACAATGAACTAGTATGTAGAATTTTGAAAGTTGATCAATCAAATGATAGGGAGTAGGGTAACTTTAAAAGTCCGCATTTCCACAACTGAACCCCCTATTAACTCGTCTTTGTTGACTGCTCTATAAGATTTTGACACTTTCATGTCTCAATATGGTGTAAGTTCATCCATAGAGCTTCGCCAGCGTCATATGAACTTAATCCAGCTAAATTTAATTTTATGGCTAATATCTGAAACTTTCACTGGGAGTTCAAGTTTCAATTGAAACGAGTAGTGATCTATTCACCTTAGTAATGCTCCATCATAGTTGAAAGTCCTCACTAAAAGCACAAAGTCCACACAATAAATAAAACCTTCCTTTCCCCAGACAGGAAGTATGTTTCCAATATGTGCATAATATGTGGAATGAAACCAACCCTTTGTACAGCTTTTCTGTATGCATGGAATGGACGTTTTACCGGAACTTATTTCATGAACTTTTAGGCTTTCCCGGCTTCCCCCTCATTTTCTTTGTTACTTAAACATGGTATATCGACAGTCGGTAGACGAAGCCTTTCAACGGCAGCCATCTTGGATTTAGTGGTCATTTATGATTTAAGGGGTGATTTATTGAGCTAGTTATGATAACTAACTAAATGGATAACCATACTTTGGAAACCAAGATATTGAATCAAAATTTATTGTATTATCTATTATTGAGCATCAGACATGGCTGAATCTGCTATATCGGTGGACAGCATTGGCGGCCATCTTGGATGTCTGTATAAACCAATGATTCCTTGACCACAAAAACCTATGACTGGACACCATTTTGGATGTTTGGCCGCCATATTGGATTTAAGGCAAATTTAAATAATTTGTACGAAACTGTAGACCCTTAACATAATAACAAGGAGAGCTGAAAATTGATAGGGGTCGGCTTCTCCTGACCAAAATGCTGTTAAAAACTCTGGCTTCTATCGCATAAACGAGCCAATTGTTGAAACAGGGAAATGAAATGAAATGAAATGGGGTTTAACGTCCTACTGTTCTGCTCCTAAACTGGGCTAATGAAGACGGGCATATGCCATACAGTGTGCTACGAGGGAAATTTTGCCCGGGCAGCGGCGCTACATGGGACCTCGGTTTTTCGTCCCATCCGAACGACTAGACAGCTGTCCTTGTCAGGCCCTCCGTCCTGCATCACTGACACGTCGGAAAATCTGGACGAACTTTCTCGGCCAGTGCAGGGCCGACGGACAGACGTGGGTGATGACATAATACATCCACACGCCAATGTAAGCGTATAATAATTGGATTTAAATCAGTTTACCTCTTGTTAAATTAATGTACTTATCGAACCATTTTCGTCCATTCAATATAGAGTTAACAGAATACAGTTTTTATGGGATACAATCACTAGTTTTATGCTAAAATGGGTCGTTTCGTTTCCCCAACATATGATTGAATACAGGGACAATTCACTAGATAGACCACTCCTTTAGGTTAAATGGGGAGAATTGGTTACAGCTTGCCATTGGCTTCCAACATCTGTTTCAGAGTGGTAGGAACCGAGAATGTGGTATCGAAGAGTTTTCTCGCTGGTTTTGTTATTATTATTGTTTGTCCCCTTGAAACCTCCGCTTAAACTGTGAATGAGTCGGGGGAGGGGGAGGGGGGGGGGGGTACTGGACGAGAGCTGCTAAACCCTCGACTGCTGGTCTGATTTCTTACATATCGGATCACTTGGTTTGTCATTGAGTCAAGTAGCGTGATATCGATCCCTAGCTCCCATTTCTTATATCAGTCCATATAACACTTTCACGGGTAGTATTAGAACTTTTTAGCCATTCCTCGTATAACACGCATTTTTGGCAGAACAATAACTTAAAGTAGCTAAGTCTCTAACTTAATATCATACAAAATCTTGCACGTTGAAAACACAAATTATTTGTCAATTCAAATCAACATTGATGTCGTGATCTTACCGGGAAAAGGTAGGCTTCTGATATCCAATATTTAAGACAAAATAAACATTTTACCATTGGTACATGAATCGTGGACCATAATGCATTTCAGCGTCATTTCTAACAAGTGACCAGAAAGAACTCATGTCAAACGGTGACGCCATGAGAGCATGAGCAATAGACTGGAATAACCAGACGCTATAAATTGACATTCTGTTGAGACTCATGCCGTATTTCGCTGGACATAGCTGATTTGAAATTAGAGACAAAACGGAAACAATTGAATGTAAATCAGTTTATATACAATTAGATTACATTTTTATATTCGTTGCGACCCATTTGTGTCAATTCCTAGGTTCCAAATATTAGCGATTTAGCTCCTTTAATTTACCATCTCAACTTTTTCAAGCAAAAAGAGTAACAAATCTGTAGATCAATTATTTATAGACAAGCAATAACAACAAATTAGAAATATACTTATTAATAAGCTGTATAGGCATTTTGGTATTGACCGGGTATTAAGAGCAATCCGCCTATAACACCAAGACCTCCGGACACCCCGGACAAGAAGAATCCCCAGTCCAGTAACCCATTATAATTCGCCGTAGATTCTTTTTTATTCACATAGTAAAGCACAACAGAGATAAAAACCATCAGCCCTTTAAATAAAGAAAATAAATATTTCTCAATTGGCTAAAAGATATTTATACTGTTTTCCGTCTGTTTACAATCATTACACATAAACAATTGGCCATAACTCAATAAATGTGTTGTGTAATCCTGAGAAATACATTGACGACATATTTTATAAAATTGGTTATATTTGATTTCAACAAATACACAAAATTATTGAATACTATCAAGGCTTGCTACCAACTACTGTCTGTTCCAGGTGATACCCCGACTCGAAAAGTGCTTGCCATTTCTTCAATTTTTAATTAAAATGGATACAAATTTGTGAATACCTGGAATTGTCATCCCCTTGATTTCTTCCATTAGCCTAAAATTCAGTATTCTCTTGTACATTGCACATATTTAGACAATTTCATTTTCATCTATGGCAAGGTTTGGGGGCATTTGTGTGGCATTTCACCACAAGAGTTCCACAAGATACTGGGTTTCTGAAAATAATACATTCCACAAGACTTTCGACTTAGAATAATATTCATAGAGTGTTTTGGGTCTGTGGTGTTTTTCACCACAAGAGTTCCACAGGATTTTGGACTTAGAAAAAAAAATCAATTTTTTCAAAAATTTTAGCTCATACCTCCTTATATGCCTGTGTGGTACCACATTCTACAAAATTTTCGACTTTGGAATGTGGTACCACACAACAACCAGCTACAACACATCCAAGTAGGGCGGGGGGTTGGATGGGTGAATGGTTAGCGTGCGCGCGCTGTATCATATAGTCTGTCATTGAGTCGACTGGCGTGGTTTCGAATCCCCGGTTGTATGTGAAAAGGAGTAGGGTCGCCTGTCGAACCTCGTGGGTTTTCTCTGGGTCCTCAGGTTTCCTCCCACTGCTAAAGACCCCTACGCGCTTGCGAATTATTGAAATTAAATTAAACCATATGTTAGTCCCGAAATGACCTAGTTTGTGTCGAGTGGACGTTAAACCCCATTTCTCTCTCTCTCTCCAAGTAGGGCGAAACGACTGAAAGCCAGCAAATCTTGTCCACTTAAGCTCTTACAGATGACTGGGCCAAACATGGCTGTTTTCAGTACCAAGAAGTCAACAAACCACGATTTTTCTAGGGAGAAAAGCTATATAGCTTGATCTGAACTTAGTTCTCACAAGACAGAAAGCAATGGGATGACCAAGTAATTTTCGAGTCGTAGTATCACCTTGAACAGTAGTTCAGTTTATAGCGGTTGAATGTCAGGATAATGTGATGATATCAAATTAAACCACTTACCTCCTAGTATACCTAAAACAGCACCAACCACTCTACTGGTAGCACAGAAAGCTGCACATGTTGATATAAACAAAAATACAACTCCAATTGTCACTAATATCACGACAGCATAATACCAAGCTATGTAAAATTCAAAGATACACAATTAACAACCGTGACTTTTTAAATGCTTCTAATTAAATATTCTTCTAGAAAAGTATAAAAGAAACGTTTTGTTAAAGATGCTTTATGGAACATTTGGATAAAGAGTTGACAGTTCTCGCTATAATAGTTAAAAATCAGATAATAAAAATGGAATATCTTGAAAAATTTCAGTCAAATTATTTGATTATTTGAATCTGGGAGACGTTTGGGTCATTGCCTCCGTTGTTTCGTAAGTAAATAAAGTCTAGATTGTGCATTTCTCTATTCCTACGAAGCCGATTACATACAGGCACTCGTAAAATCAAATAAACGATTAGTCAGACATTTTAATTTCACTTATCGATATATCGATGATGTTCTATCACTGAATAATCCAAAATTTAGTGATTATGTAGAATTCGTATATCCTGATGAGCTCGAAATTAAAAACACTACTGACAGTGACAATTACGCTTCCTACTTGGATCTGCGTCTCGATTTTGACAATTGCCATAAACTTAGTGTAAAATTGTACGATAAACGTGATGACTTTGACTTTCCGATTGTTAACTTTCCATTTATTAGTAGTAACATTCCAATATCACCAGCTTATGGAGTGTTTATGTCTGAACTAATTCGTTACGCGAGAGCTTGTTCATTTTATTCTGATTTTTTAAGTAGATCGAGGCATTTGTCATCTAAGCTACAACTACAAGGATACTTGCGAACTAAACTTATTAAAACCTTTAAAAAGTTTTATGGGCGTCATATTGATTTCATTGGTAAATATAACATGTCTCTCTCGGCTATTATTCTAGATATATTTAATTGACGCGTATACAATCTCCCTGATAATGTCTTGTCTACTAACATCGTTAACACTGTTCATCACGTGCATTTTGCATACCGATAGTCCATTGGCCAATCACGCTATTTTAGCGAGATTTCGCCTAATAGTTTGTATGCAGCTATGGCGGGTGTGGCGCCAGGCAGGGTAAGCTTACTCTTTCGGACACCTGTTACCACTGTTTATCGTGTATTTTGTACACGGTGAACAGTCCATATGCTGATTACACTATTTTGCTTTATTACACTATTTTGCCTATACCGTTTTTTAGGACTTCGAATTCTGTCTAATGGTTAGGATTGTTCGTACTTGGTTTTATTTTATTTTAAAATTAAATCATTAACCGTTAATTGTCTTTATATCTAGAGTATGCGATATTAATAAATGTCTAATTAACAATTTACATAACATTTAAGGGCTAAAGAAAGACCTGCAGTAGACAGATTTAGCTCATGCATAATATATATTTTAATCACGTATTTTTGACCACTTCTCCAAAATCACAATTACGTCATTTATTATTGTCTCAGTATTATTTAAATATCTAATATAATAAAATGTCCACTTTTTACTCGATTAAATTAGAAGTAGACGTTTTGAGTAATGCGCATGCCCACACTAAATGATAATATTTAATTATTGTACCTAGCTCGAAAGGTACTTGGTATAAAATACAACCCAAACTTTCTTGGGATCTAGTACAGTGCAACCAAAGTCCACCAAATTTGATTTCATATTTATACCACGATGGCGATATGATTCCAATCAAAGCAGCTATAAACGAAATCAACAAAAGAACAGATCCAATTTTCGCAGTCACCGGTCTCTGAGAGAATGCCATTTTGGATGAGTCTAGAAATCGTTGCCTGAAATAAAAATGTAACAGATTATAAAAGAAAACAGAGGGCAAGTATCTTCTCTTCAGTAATTGTCAATGACATAAGGTTTTCTTTCTTATACCTGTCCAACCTCGTGGATTTATTCTCCGGGTCTTCCGGTTTCCTCCCACTGCTAAAGACCGCTACGCGCAAACGAATTATTGATATGAAATTAAACCACATGTTAGTACCGAAATGACCTAGTTTGTGTCGAGTGGACGTTAAATTCCATTTCTCCCTCTCTCTCTGCCCCTTTCTCTCTATCTCTCTCCCTATCTCTCTCTTTCTTATACCATATACAGCAAACTAACGGGCGGAGATTTAAAATCATCTAATAACAACTCGGTTCCAAGAGGAAGAAGCTTCGGCTCTCCTCATTCTTGTGTTCTATATCATTTCAGTGGAAGCAAAGCTTAAATTCCCTGGATTTATGTGATACATGGTAACAAACTCAACAAAGTTAGAAATCTACAAACCTATATACTCCTAGTGTGGCGTTCAGTGACTGAGCAGAATACAATAACACAACAAAGTTAGAAATCTACAAACCTAAACTCCTGGCGTGGCGTTCAGTGGTTGAGCAGAATACAATAACACAACATAAACTACATGGAAAACATTCGACAATTATTTTCTTATCGTTATCAAGAATCAAGCAATGTGTTCCTAAATTTCTATTCTGATACAAGCATTATTTATATTTATTTATTCAATAAAGTCGTGATGTCGACTATCAGTCACCATATGAATTTAATTGGCTCCGTCTGTTGACATAGTCATAATAATAATTTTTATTCGCAAACGCTACCAGGTCACAGGAATGGATTAAATTTCATTTCACAAAGACTCTAACGATTGCCTTATTTCATTTAATATTAATAAATGGTATATTTATTACAATATTTATATATTTCATTTCACATCAAGGTGACACATTTAGAAGAAATCAATAGAAATGAAAATAAAATAAAAATGATTGGGCTAATGAAGACGGGCTATTGCCATACAGGGCTGGGGGTGGATGGGGTGCTCTATCCGGGCGGCGGCTATACTGTTTACTCATGTATCGAATCCCTACTGCCAACTGATCCTTTATGTGTAGACGGGAACTCGCTTTTTCGTCACATCCGAACGACTATACGTTGACAAGGGGGGAACCATGCCGGAAAATCCCCCGGTGTTTTTGAGCAGTCGGGGTCGTAAATGGGATGTTTCAAATATTAGGAACATTGCCATTGCTTTCACAGATCATTCTTCTTGATAGCAGGGCAGGTGAAGTGATCCTAACAATTTGTTAGAAGTGGCCGTAAGACATTTGTAATGCAGGTGCCACACTGTCCCGAAATTTACACCAGATGGACATACAATAAAGTAAATGTTCAAAGACATCGTATGACTGCCTGTTGAGTTTCCCAGACTCGGGCAACTTCGTGAGCACTGGCAAAATTTGTTCATTATCGTGTTGAAATCATGTACCCATTCTGTCCTTCATTAGGCCACCGTCAGGTGCCACTATGCTAGGTTCCCCACTATCACGATTCGCACTACGACTGAAATCGTCCATGGATATCGCAACAAACCATGCTCGTCACCAATGAGCATGATACAGTCACAAGCAAGAACAAATTTACGAATTAGACTTGCCGACATGAAGCAATATTAGATAGATCTAGTCGAATATGGTCGCACTTGGTTAAATATTAATAAATTCATAATTTTTTTAATTAAAACAGCTCTTTATTCAGTGTTCCTAATCCTTATTTCTTTATTCATAGTCCTTAATTCTTATTTCTTCAATTGTTGCCGTATTTCGACATTTGTATACTAAAATTAACATTTGTATACTAAAATTAACATTTGTATACTTAAATCTTTGTTTTACAAACCAGACATTTGTTATGTCAGATTTGTAAAATGTGTTTTAATTGTATTTCAATATAAACATAAAATTTATTTTAGAAAATCAAAAATTAGTCTACATTTCATCAGAGACATACAACGAAAATTAAATCTGGAACAACAAATTTCTAAATTCAAATCTTGAAAAACATTTCTCAAAAAACATTTCTTCAATAACATTTTCTAAATACATTTCTCGAAATCTATCGAACCGGAATATTATGACGACATTGACGGAAATCAACCTTGCATACATTAAGCCACCATACAATAAAGGAGAATCGAGACTGAGAGCTGTCACGTGACGTAGATAGCCCCAGCTTCAGGGCTTAATTGTCCGTATTGTTCAATTTAATCCTTTAGTGCTGGTTGAATAGTGAGAAACAATAGACCGACTCTAAATTATTATCTTAGGTAAACGTACTTAATTTATGAAACAATGGGTATAGATGGGTGACAGATCTGACCCGACACTACCGTGAGTAACTGTCAGTCTAGTTGATTGACACCCCTCTACAGTATTTTAATTTCTAAATGCCCCCCCCCCCCCACACACACACACACACACACACAAACACACTAGTATTTAGCGCCACCCAACTGTAATACCTTTTTCAAGGTATGTAAATTTAAATGTGCCAGAATATAATTTACATTTCTGAAAAGGTAAATGAAACTTCTTTTCAGTGGCTTTTCTGTGTGAAAACTGGAATGACCCGTTGTTTGACATTTAAGACCCCACCCACCGCCTACCAATCAATTAATAGAGTTTAATACTTTTATATTTACAAAGTTCCACGGTTCTAAACTTTATTAAGTGTGGGGGTGGATATTTAAAGTCAAAAGCCGATCTTATTAAAAAATTCTCGATACCTGTTCATATACAGCTGGAAAGTATGTTTATTATTTGCTACAAAATGTAAATTATTTTCTTACACATTTGTATTTACATACCTTGAAAGAAGAATAAATTTGAAATGGCATTAACAAGTATTAAATGAGAAGGGGGGGGGGGTATTTAACGTAAAAAAACGGGCTATAACACAAAATACAAGATATCGGGATGTATAACATTATAAAGGTCTATTTAGTGAGGAAAGGGGTGTTTAAAAGTTATCGTATTCACCGGAATGTATTTGTCTATCGCTCTTTGAATATACGAGTATTAGCTATTTTACTGGCACATTCATGATAAAGCCCTCTTTCGTTTGTCCAAAGAAATATGTTGCTATCAGACAAAACCTAATTTCTGAAAATAGACTACTGTACTTTCAATTTATTTTATTTAATGCTAAATCCGATTAACCAATATATATATATAGGGAGGGAGAGGCATAACACGCACGCGATTTCACTAAAGTAGCGGTTCGATGAATTTGAAGAAATGTTTCGGGGGAAATGTTATTGAAGAAATGTTTTTGGAGAACTGTTTTGCAAGATTTGTATTTGGAGATTTGTGTTTAGAAATTTGTTCGGGATTTGTTTTTCGTTGTATGTCTATGATGAAATGTAAATGATGTAGATTAATTTTTATTGATTTATTAAAATAAATTTTATCTTTATATTAAAATAAAATTAAATTAAAGATGGGTTCCCAGAAAAGTATTTATCGGGTGGTTATTTCCAATAAAAGTATGGCAGTTTTGGTATATATGGAAAGTAGAGATATCCAATCTTACTAGAACAATACTGGATTCCCCGAAAAACATTCATGGAACGTATACAGGACAAAAATGTAAGGGTTCCCCTAATCGACAGCCCGACGATTAGGAATTTCTGCACGCGTGATGTCAAAGGTCACACGCGAACATTAAGCGCTTGATGTACAAGTTGATAAACTTTATGAAGAGTTAGACGTACAACACTTTCTGGGATAAAAATGACGGAAATAGATGCGGGAAGTGGATAATCCGAGAATTTAATTAGGATTCGATATTTGTAATAAATAGTAAGCGATTAAGACAACATCGTCTTATATATACAATGAATTCTCCTCTGACTTCCAAGAGAGGTAAGTCACGTGACGTAAACATGACCTGGTTTGATCGAATTTTTATAGCAGGGCATTCCTTCGCAATTCCAATGTTTGAAAAGGATTTGAAGCAAAATTATGACAAATTAATTAGTTTGAATGTTTTTAGTCCATATATACCAATAAATCACCCAGTTTGTACCGGGAATGTATCTTTAAACAAAAATACATTTTACAAATCTGATATGACAAATGTCTGATTTGTAAAACATATATTGATTTTAAGATACAAATGTTAATTTTAGTGTACAAATGTCGAAATACGGCAACACATGAAGAAATAAGAATTAAGGACTATGAATTAAGAACTAAGAATTAAGAACACTGAATAAAGAGCTGTTTGGTCTTCCATAAAAAACTGCTTACATTAAGAATTGCATACAGCCATATTGAAACAGTTAAAATTTGAATTATCCATAATTTCTTTCAAATTTGTATGAAATTATTAATATTTTGACATGATGTGAAAAATATAAGGGGGTCCCTGTGGGTTTAAAAAAAAAGAAGAAAAAGGTAAAAATGAACATAGCCGCCAAAATGGCAGTTGTTCCATATAGCTAAGATCCGTTTGCTATTCATGTTACTGGCATGAGTGTCACACATGGGATGTTCCAGGGGGGTCCGTGTATTAAAGACGTGATCTTTATCGTTTATTAAAGACGTGATCTTTACCGTTTATTAAAGACGTGATCTTTAAGACGTGACCTTTAAGACGTGATCTTTATTAAAGACGTGATCTTTATAGTTTATTTTTAATGTGAAATGTATTGTCTATTTTTCATGTGAAATGTATTGTTTATTAAAGATACGGTCTTTATTGTGTATTAAAGACGTGATCTTTATCGTTTATTAAAGACGTGATCTTTATCTTTTGTTAAAAATGTGATCTTTATCGTTTATTAAAGACGTAATCTTTATTGTTTATCAAAAATGTGGTCTTTATTGTTTATCAAAGATGTGATATTTTAAATTTATTAAAGATGTGCTCTTTATTGTTTATTAAAAATGTGATCTTTATATTTTTAAGGGTGTGATCTGTATTGTCTATTAAAGATGTGATCTTTATTGTTTATTAAAGATGTGATCTTTACTATATAATATACTCTTCACAAAAAGTTGGGGATATTCAGAAACAATACAGAACTGCGGAAATGCACTGCTATTTTTATTAGAGGTAACCAGTGTATGTTAATAACAGGTCAATTGCCTACACATGCACATAAACAGTTTACATGGGCGGCTTATCTGACGGCCCTATTTCACTCACAAAGAGATACACTGTCAAAAGTGAAAATGGACGTTTTTGATTTTTGTCTTAATAATGAGTAATTGCTCCACCAATCTTCACACATTCAGCAATTCGTCGTGGCATGCTCCTAATCAACCGTCCAATCACGATTTGGGGAAATCTGACCCACTCCTTTTGCAGTGCCACGGCCAATTCTTGCAGTGTTGTCGGTTGACGTTGACGTCGACGAAAACGTCTCCCGATCAAATTAAACGTAACACACTAAAGCAAAGATACGCTAAACAGTAAATCTTATGCAAGAACCGATAGCAAAGCAAACATGGATAGGATAAACCAGCAAGCGGCAGTTTTCATCAACCCTTCCTTGAAGTGTCAAATTTGACAATGAACCCCTCCCACGCGTATGGCGATATTGCAGCTCAGTGGTTCTTTTGGGGCTATAAGTTCTTCATCTGTGAACATACTCTCAAAGCATGTCAAGTGTCCATGACTATTTATCATATTACAACCTGCATAGGTATTTGCATTTCAATACCCCCTACTTTGTTTTAAGAGTATACATCTATACTATCATTACTAAAGTCAGTACGATAAACAGC